CCCACCCCCCCGCGGGGGGGGCCCCCCCCAATCTAGTGTTATATTTTTAAGTATTTGTTATGTAAGGGCGTCTATCCTCTGAGATGTTTAAGGGATACACCGACATTTCTGCGAATCGACATTACCGTGAAGACTTGTTTATTGGAAAAGAAGAATAAATGAGCCTGTCTTTCTATTTTGTATATCATGTTTTGAAACCTGACTGAAGTTATGTGATGAATAGTCATTAACTGGTACGATTACAGCTATACAGTTACACATCATCAAGATATGGTTTGTGTGAAACGACTTTTGAACTCATTCACACCCACGACATACTGCCAAAAATACCCAAATCTGTACTGCGGAAAAGTCGTGTTCGCGGTAAAGGCACAACGGTTCAAACAAAAGTAGGCGGAACGCTTTTTTACTATAAAAATTCATTTTTCAAAAGGTACACTGAAGGCTCGAATCTCTAAGGTGGTACAAAAGGCCTCAAATGTTTAGGTAGGCATGCACCAGTTACACTTAACTGTAACTGCTCATAACTGTAGGTAAATATTCTAGAGTGATTAGTCTTGTACGATTTGCATACATTTTAAGAATGTCTCTGTTCTTAAAATGTATGCAAATTGTAGAAGACTAACTCACTCTAGAATATTTCCCTACAGTTACGAGTTACAATTTTTACAATTACAGTTATCAGCAGTTTTACAAGTACAGTTAACTGGTAAAAAAACTGTAATTGGTGTATACCTATGTTTAGGCGAGGATAGACGCCGCTGTTGTCGTGTGAAATTAATGCAACATCTATTTGTTATCATGATACGTTTGAACTATCAACTTTGAGTCAAATTTTAGAATATCTTGGCCTTTTGATTCCATTTAACTCATACAAATGTTAGAAATAAATATGTCTAATATTGGATTTAGATCCAAGGTCTTTTAATTAGTATTTGTTGTTTCGACTTAGAATTATAGATACTCTTAAGCATTACTCTGTTATAGTTTCCTATCACTTAAGTTTAAAACAAGTTTCAGTGCAGAGCCGATAAACTAAAGTAAACATTCAATATCTTCTTGTCTTATTTTGAATATAAATAATAGGTTACATACGTCAGCAGTTGTAGGCGGCTGTGTTGGTTGTTGTTGTTGTTGCTGTTGTTGTTGTTTAGCAGCTTGTTGAAGAATATTTTCAAATGGCGATTGCGTCGGTTTTCGTTGTATTAAACTTTGTTTCAAATCGTGAGTAATTTGAGATAATTCGTCGCGCGATTGGGTGGACATACTGAATAATTTAAACGTAGATAACTCTAATGAGGATTTGTCTATTCTTGTCTAAAATTGAACAATACGAACATAAAGTTAACATATGTCTTTTCAGAATAAAAATGACAGTTTCACTTCCACCTTACCACTTTAGCAAGAGAAAATGAAAGTATCAATTAATAGAAAAAAATAAATAAAAGGAAGAAGATAAGGGTTTTTCCAATTTTAGAAACTCATCGGACGTATGTTTGAAAGTTGAAGTGGTTGATGAGAAAAATTCTAAGAAATAAGAATAATCTAACTTAAAATTGGGATTTGAATTTTTGTATTTTTTCTGAATAAATCTCACTTCTTATTTTAACTCTTTATCTCCTATGGATCACTAGAGTGATTATTGGTAGAAACATTTCAGAAAATAAACAAAGTTTCAATACGTTATTTATAGCAAATTTCGATTGATAAAAGTTAGTTTTTCTCATCGTTGCATCTCTATCGTGAATGATGGGACAGGGAAATAAAAAAATGATTTTTTTTAAATACATCAAACAAAATATGCTTTTATTAAAGAAAAAGTAAAATTTACTATGAATATAATTTCTCTCTACTTATATCGTTCAAATAGATTGAATGTTTGTATGAAACTATTAGACTACGTGTAAGAGAAAAAAAATTAGACTTTTCAAATTGTTGTTTTTCTATTAAACACAAGAAAATAACTGAACAATCCATAGTCACATGTGTGTAATGACAGTAACTGCCTGTAAATAGCGGCGTAACCAGGATTTTTAGACCAATGGGCAAACTTCTATTGTGTCGGAAAAAAACGATGGACAAAATGGGCAAGGGTTTTGTTGGTGAACCAAAACATTTGTGGTTCAAAAAGAGCACAAAAAAATGAAATGAGGTTTTTTTAATCAAAGATATGCATCAAACTCAAATTTTTACTATCTACAAACTCAAATACATTTACTATCTAATTCAAAAATAAACAAATAATTTTGTCTATCCACATTCTTACATATATCTTACTAAACGTTATACTTCATGCGTATATCTCCTAAGTACAATTTCAATGGGCAAATCTTCAAATGAAATGGGCAATTACCCATTTGCGCCCCCCCCCTCACCTGTAAATAATAATAACGAGGAAATACTGATTCATTTACAACTTGTCAAAAATATCTTCAAGATTACACACATTGTTTTCATAGCAAAAGTATTGACATTTTGTTTTATATTTATTCTTTGTCAGAAATTTCCATTAATTTCAATAATGACTGCAATACACATACACGAAAGGAAGAAGAACCGCTCGAAAGCAAAATATAAAATACACTTCTCAAAATGATACAATCAAACGGTTGAGAACCGAACGTATCCAGTTTAGACTTATCACTGTTCCTTCCATGATGCTTACATCTCTTGGATAAATCAAGAGCCTGAAGGATACAGGATTTATACAAATATATCTCAAATTCCAGTGCGCTCAACTGAAATTCGAAGTAAAAAGGATAAAGATTTTATTTGCAAAAGACAAGATTTCTCGGCTAAGAAGCGATTTCAGAGATGTTTACCTAAGGCGCTACTTGACAGCTGCATTTTTGAAATGTACTGTGATACTCACGATGATTATGCTCTGTAATCGCTCCTTAGCCGAGAAATTTTATCTTTTACAAATAAAATCGTTAATCTTTTCACTCTAAATTTCAGAATTCTATCTATTGAATTTCAGTTGAGCGCACTGGGATTTAAGATGCATTTGTATCACTATAGGCAGATACACTGAAACATCAGGTCCACAGACCAATTGATTTGCATGAAATTTTTAGACTAACTTATGAGACGAATGTATAATTTTCCTATCTTTCTTTTTATTTCGATTTTTTCTACTATTTCTGGATCATTTGAAATTCTACCCACCATAGACGACTCTGTTTTTACAGGTATCTGCATTATATTAAAAAAATATATCTTGCATTTTTGTATTAGGTTGTGCTCTATAACGAATGAAAACTTGAATTATTACCTCTTCTTATGTACAACTCTATATGAGAAATTTTTTAATAAAGAGCAAAAAAAAAGAAATTTTTATCATTGTACTCCATATCAAAAGATATCTCGCAGAATTAAAGATCATTTTTGTAGATAAGTAGTATAACGAATGCCTGTTTTAGTCTCAGCGTAGTTGGTTCTAAGATGAGACCAATGAAAACGTAGCATATGAAATGTACTTTGCTGTCAAAATCTGCCTTTTCCTTTTATTGTCTTCCACTTAATAACAATATTCTTATGCCTCTAGGGACCTTTGAGAACTCTGTTTAGATTTATATTAGATTACGAAGCTTACACATCGAATCAGAGAAAAATTCACAACATATTCTAGATAGTCCATAACGAACACCGACTGAAGGGATCTGTGCACAATCACAAAGATGGAACATTTTTTTCTTACGGGGAAGAACAGCTATAATGTCATCATACATTCACAGTTGAACACCTGCTAGAGGAATATATTTTAGTCTTAGGAATACCCAGAACCACTGCCGATAAAATATTTTTTTGTAGGATTATCGATAGTAATATCTGACAGACATTTTTTCGTATTTTGCACACAGACAACCAATTTGTAAGAGCCTAGACTAAAGTCAAGAGAACAACAAAAAGTCTTAAGAGAGATGAACAGAATAAAAAGAGTACCGTGGCGTTATACTTTCTCACTGAAATAGTACGAACCAATCAGAAAAGACAATAAACTAGAACTAAACTTAGTCCTCGTGTATCTGAACACAGAATAACTGAGACATGTTGTGAATTTCTTTGATTTCACGAAAAAAAAATGCACAATGCAATATAAAACTAAAAAGTTTTCTGAACAATCCCTGAAGATCCGAACGGGGCTACAAATATTTCTGATCGATTCTCCATGATAGACTCTCTATATTCTGCAACTTTTATTATCCGTAGTTGACTTTTTTTGTGTTATTGAAATTGACTGATTTCTGGCAACATCTATCCCCCAAGTACAGAAATGTTTGCTAGGTTTTTTTCTCTCTGCATCAGTGAAGATTATTTCAGCCATCTCTTTGACTATTTTCTCTCTAGTATAAAAAATAATTTTCTATTTTTCTCTCGTGTGATTGGTTTCTCCATGGAATATCTGGCAGCCATGTTTCCGTATTTTGCGCACAGATACACAGACTGACTGACAATCAGTTTGTATGACCCTAGATTGAAGTCAAGAGAGTAAGAATTGACGTAAATAGTCTCTCCGTGGAGCTACTATTTGGACCTAAAAGAAACAGGCAGATTTTCCTAGTAAAGCGCGTTCATTATAAGAGTGGCCGGTATTTACTTTTGTTTGATTGTCGGACCGTTTGTGTAAAAGTTCGGATATTTAGCGAAGATATTTTGGTATAAATTGAAGAAAGATTTCTGAGCAACAATTTCTTTCTGTCTCTTGTTTAGAACTTATGAGTTCATTAGTAGTAAACATCTTGGACAATATTACGAACAAATAAGAAAAATTAACAAAAGTATTCCATGAGGTTTTTTTATCGATTGAAACGTTGTCCAAACGCGTTTAAACAAGAAAATAACAGAAACACTTTCCATCGATGATTAAAACGCGTTTCGTATATCGATTAAATGCCTGAAAATCGCCTGTCAAGTATCGATTGAAGATGTTTCTGTTATTTCGTTGTTTACACGCGATTGGACACCATTTTTTCTTTGTTTTTTAAACTTTATTTATTTATTGATGAAATAAATAATTATAACTAAGACAGGTCAAAAGAGAGCAAAGTTCCATTATTATCGGCCTGTCTAACCAATAAAAAATAGAAAAAATAGGAAGGACAGTAGTGAAGAAAAGAATGCAAATACATAATAAAAAACAGGGAAAAAAGACAAGGAACAAAAAAACGGCAGAAGAAAGGAAGGAGAAGATCGAGTATGCTAAGTGATGCAGACAAAATTTTTACATCATAAACCTTTTAGTTAAAAGAATATATTTAATTACACTTTTGTAGAGACTATCAAATATAGTTCCTTTGAGAGACGAATCTTAAGTGAAAATAATTTACTACTTAGGAGTTGCGATAAGTACAAAGTTGAGAGTTTCTGTTCAAGATTATTTCGTTGCGATTAGTACAACACACAATGTAACAGATAATGGTCAACACTTTCAATATCATTGCAAGTACAAATATTAGTGAGACTCAGTTTTTTAGTATACAAGTTTGCATTTAGTGGTGAAAAGTCCATACGCAAACGATTGAAGAAGATATCTGCTATTCCATCAATACCATACGTTTGATAATGAAATATATTAACATTAGAATAATTTTTTAGTTCAGTTTTAAATTTCTGTTTTCGGAAGCGATTCAGTTTTACATTATCTGACAATGAATTTCACACAGAAGTTATGTAAGGAAAAAAAGATTTCTCTACCACGTACAGAATTTAAGTGCAACGGTTTTAATTCATATTGACTGCGAAGCGAATAAGGAATTGGATCAGTGTTTTTAATACATGCGCTCAAATATTCGGGTGTATCGCACGATAATATACCTCTAAAAAGAATAAGTTTATTCATGTCAAACGTTGCCAGGGATGCTGTGAAGTACAAGAAGCAGGGAGGAGGTCCTCCGATTTCGGAATAATAAATTTCAAAAATGAGAATAAATATCTGATTTGTCTAATAATACATAAGTTTTGACATACAAAATATTTTAGTTGCAAAAAACTTCATACACTCAAGTCTTTTGCTATAGTTTCTGCAATAAAACTAAACATATTTTTCATTTTCTGAACTAATTTCTGTTCTAACTCGCAGACACTTAACTGTGAAAAACAACGAAATTATTCTGAAATCTATTGCTGTGCTTTTTCGAATACGCTTTCCCGGTTTTAGTTGTTTCCGTTAAGCGACAGTTTATATTTGAGATATAAACTTCTTTAAATTTAAGAGTAAAACGTACTAATTCATCATCATGACCTGAGAAATTGATTGAAAACCTGAATCTCAAATTTTGACTTTGGGACTAAACTCAGCGGACAAAGACGTTTTGTTACGAAGAGTCAAGAGTTTATACTGTGAGAGTTGGGAGCCAGTTAGTGAAAGAGAGCAAGAAGAATGCAATGCTTTCAAAATGCAAGTCGTAACAGATTTTCTTTGTAAATGAAGAAAAGAAAATATGTTGATGTTTACTCTTAAATCGAGAGTATTTATAATGAGTAATCAATGATTGTTCATTATGCAGCACTCAATCAGAGCACAGAAGCTTTTCCTTTTCGTTTCTACATGCTATTAGCGTTATTAGCATACACCAAATGTCGTTAATTGTTTATCTCATTTCCAGAGCAATAACTTTTGGAATTGTCGAAAACAGGGAGGAGGATCTCCTTCCTGCTCCCGTTGTCGCGGCATCCCTTCAAACGTTATTCTCAAATTAGATCGGTCTAGTATATCGAAAACTTGTTCTTTTTTCGATAAGTACATGGATTCAGAAATAAGCAGAGCTGGACGATATTGAAGCTGGAACAGCGATTTCAATATCCGTTCTGGTTCATCTGAATAAAATAACACTGGCATATATCAATAATGAGTATATAAACGATTTATATAATTGATTAAGAATTGGCGTTAAAAGTAATGCACTTAAATGGACACCGTTTCAATCGATAAAAAAAAATCTTATGTATAATAGACGTAGTGATGCAAATGTAGCCAGCTGGAATGAACCTAAATGCAATTGTTATTTATAAGTATTCTTTAGTTGACAAAATACTCATTTTGTGTTTCTATATGATCTGAAGTTTTTTATATTTTTTTTTTCTATTATATTTAGATGTATGTCACATTGACATTTTTATCATTATTTTCGTTGTGTTTATCGAAAGTCACCTATTGTAAGTGTATAGAGAAAGAAAAAATGAATATCTGTCAATAAAATTTAATATTTATTGTTGTTTTTTTTCTAGTCAATCTGGAAACAACCTATGGTCCCTATTGCAATGGTACAACATATGAGTTTGAGGGAGGAATTATACGATATGCCGGGTATGTTAGAAAGATCTATTCTCAATTTTATCTTATTCTATTCGTATTATAGAACACCATGGACTGGTGTTTGTGAATTGAGATTAAAATCATGTTGTTTGCCGCCATTGTCTTATAATGTAGCTAATGTACTGTCAACTCGGTTTTATTTTAAATTAACCAAACCACTACTATGTACAATAGAAAATGTGACAATTATCACTCAGCTAAATGAGAAGGTATTTGTCAATCATATCGTTTTTCTGATAATATTAGATGTATTTATAACGGATGAGCCATAAATAATTATAGTATTAGTATTTTCAAGTTTTCTCCGCTTTCTTATAATTAATCGAGTAAATCTTTTTTACTGAAAGATAGCACGTTCAATTCTCTATAAAATATATATTGACTATTTTATTGCAAAATCCAAAAGTAAAAAACGAGATAAGAAATTCTATGAAGTACGAAAATCCACAAAAAAGTAACATATTTTCTCATAGAGAGCTATATTTTTACAACTGGTTTCGCAAGCATCAAAGCGTAGTTTGGGTATGCTTTGTGTATAATATCCGACAGAATGACTGACTAATCAACAACCGAATCAAAACAGCAAATGATTTTGACCTTATTCATATGTGATAACAAAGGAAGTTTTTTGTCAAATCTTGACGATTCGAAAATATATAGACTAATTATTAATCTTCAAAGTAAATGAAAAAATTCAATCTGAAAGGATAAAGTTTGACTAGACTATACTTGTGTTATCAAATGATGCCAAATCCTTGTCTAAAATCATCATTTTTAAAAAATTTTCAAGAAAAAAAAATGTTACACTTACACCTTCAGTTCTAACTGTAATAATTTTTTAATCATAAATAGACAATAGAACTTTTCAAAGTCTGTACAATATTTAGCTTTCTTTCTTCTACATACGTTTAACGAATAAATGTATTTATTTAACTTATTTTTTCTGAATTTTCTAAATTTTCCGTAGGCTTTCTCATCTCATTTTTTATCTTCGAATTTTGTAATAAAATAGTCAATACATATTTTGTAGAGAATTGAGTGTGTATTCTTTCAGTAAAAAAATTTGCTCGATTAATTATAAGAAAGAGAAGAAAACTTGAAAATACTAACACTATAATTATTTATGGCCCATCACCCGTTAGAAAAGATTCCCATCAACAGTTAGTTATAAATTCGTTCAGCTGAGAATGTCTGCTAGCTTCAAAGAATAATTGAAGATCCTATTGTTTACACTCTATTTATGTTTGTATCGATATTATAGCTTTACATTGATTGTAATACAACACTTGATTCAGAATATTTCTTTGATGCTGATAATGTCACTATTATATATCAACGAACATCAAAATTACCCATTTCAAAATTCACAATGATCGTTACACCATTAAAATTAAAACAACGTATGTATCTAACATTTATTAACGGAAAACTTTGACAGTATCCATACTAAATCTAGCCCGATCAAAAATGCCAATATTTTATTATTTGTTATAACTGACTGTTGAAGATAGATATGAGAATTGAGTTTAAGGGTAGCTCCCCCTCTTTTTTTTGGACAAAAATTTCGAATTTTAAGCTGAGTATAGCCTAATGTAGAGAAAAGTGTGGCCTACAAAATGAGACCGCTCTCAGCACTCCACGATCTTTTTTCAAAAAGTTATGCAATTTTGAAGTTTTTCCTTCAAAGTCTAGAAAAACTCAATTTGTTTTGTTTCATTAACTTTTCTCTCCTTTTCTGTACATTCGAAATTTTTCTTAAGCATAGTCTGATAGAAGAAAGTGTTTTCTTCACAATGAGATGTTGTACAGAATTTTCTGATGAGTTTTCGTGAAGATAAGCATCGCGACAAATGCTCTAAAAAAAATGGCCTATGTACAAAATGCGTTTTTCTCGAAAACTATTTGTTTGCTACGGGGCTTCATTGGACCATATTGCGACCCCCTTAAGTTTCATCCGATCGTGTTAAAAATTTTACTAGAGATACTCAAGGTCATAGCGTAGAAGTGTAATTTTGGAATTTTATTTTAGACCTTTCTTTACCGAGTTGTAGGGTTTCTAAATTTACAAACTTGGTTTTTGAAAGTTTTTCGGTATGTTTCCTATAACTCGACCAGGAAAGGGTTAAAATTCCAAAAAACCTACCTCTACCCTATGATCTTGACGGCTTGTCCAGCTAACGGTCTCCTTTTTTTTGCTCTTTTTCAAAGAACTATGGCAATAAAGTCAGAAAATAAACTAAAACTGCGACTAGATCATTAAATAGATTAAACATTTCTCTACAAAATGAAAAGTGTCTCGGCTCTGAATGTTGATTCATTATGAAAATACAGTTGTTGTACAAACAGGCCCAGAAATCGATTTTGGTGCGTTCTGAAAAACGGGTC